ATGTCATGCAGCTTTGGAAGACAATGTCTCTGCTGTACTAAGGAACAGTAAATCCTGTCTGTAGATGAGTGACTCTTCTGTGCTTGCAGCTGACAGTCCTATTAAGTAGAAGGACAGATCTCTTCATACACACGTTGCTGTAAAAGAAAAATGAATTTGCATTTTTAACTGTTTCCTTAGACTTTGACAGGGTGAGAACAAAAAGGATTTGAGGAGGGTTTACTGATTTCTGTAACCTTTGCAAACTGAGAGCATATGCACATTTTCTCACTGAGATACTTTTGTATTTGTATTTTTTTTAAAGCAGTTTTAAGTCTATAACTCATTAACTAACCAAAGAGGCATAGCTAGGACAGAGCATTGGGAAGTAGAGGATGGTGTGCTTTGAGTTTGCCCTAAAAGCAATCTGTAGGAGTCTAAGTTTCCAAAAATAAACTTGACTTTCTGAACTACTTTTCTGACTTTTAGATAATGGTTTTGTTTGTGTAGTTGTATATTTAGGAGGCTAACCTATACTTGGCAGAATTTTATTTAAATACTTAAAAAGTTGTAGCTAGGTATTTATTTGCAATAACTTGAATTATGTGATTTTTTTTTAAGACTTGCAGAATGGGAGTACTAGTATTTATTGAATATTTGGATATTTGGTAGTTTTATTTGGGTATCTCTGGGATACATGATAAATTGTCAAATAACAATAAACTTAGAACTGTCCTCAAAGCAAAATAAATCAGTTCTGTAGTGAAAAACTTGAGTATAATAAAGTAAAATAAGCTTTTTACATTGTATTTCTACGCTGTCCACAAGTGCCCAATAATCTTTTTTCTCAAAGAATGGAGATAAAAGTTCTATTCAACTTCATTGTTTTAAACAAACCATGAGAAAACCTCCTTTTTTGTTTGCTTTAATAAAGGGTAGATTAATGTTCTAGATTCAGCTTCTACAAGATAACACCTTTGGTTTTTGCTGCAACTTTTTGGTAACTATTGTTTTATTTCCCCTCCCCCCAAAAATCTCATTTTGGTAGCCTGTGCTTGCATTTCATTTGCTCATACAGGCCTCTCACTTTTAGTAGTACATAATTGTTTTGTGTTTCTAACTTATTTTTATGTCTGTAATTCAAGATACTGTCATAGATTCTGTTGAATTGTTTTTAAATTGATAAAGGAAATATTGCCTTTCTTCTGGTTTTTCATTGTCAGTAACTTTCATATTTTGATGTGTCCTGGTCAGCCGTGCATGTTGTGTTGTATTTAAGCAATTGTCATTTTCCAAATTTGAACTTGTTGCTCGTTTTCTTCCTGGTGACAATAGTTCTTGCTGGATATTGTGTTGAGGAGGATTATTCATTGTTTTCTTATCTGAAATCAATGTTTTGTAAGAATGAGATATTTGTGTATTAGAAGGTAATGTTTATCTGTAACATGGTATGATACCATATATGTGCTAATGTATTATTACCTAAGGTGGTATATTACTGTAAGAAAGTCCAAGAAGTGTTTACTTGCCTTTATTTTAATAGTTCTGTTCATTTTCAATGCTGATTATTTCCCAGAGGAAGTGACTAGAGAGTTCTGCTCTTTCCAGGTAAGCTCATCATATGTTTTTAAATATGTAGAATTAAGACATTTTTCCTCCAAAAAAAAATGCAGGGGAAAATGCAACAAATACATGCAATTAGTTATATTGTATCTTCTGCTTCAGTTACTGTCCAAATTTCTGTTCAGTTGAATCTTAACTTTTTCTAATTATTTCTCAGTAGCTGAATTATAACTCTTTCTAGAAGAAAAAAGAATCTGTCCTGAGGTGCCATTCAGGGCTTGTTCTTGAATGTCTGCTACATGTTTGCATCCGAGAGCAGACATGACAAACTAACTCTTTAACCTTCCATCATCATTCTGACTGTAATTAGCTGTATTCATTTTGTCAGCAGTTTATAGCTCAGTAAGAATTGCTTATGCTAAGCACATGTTTGTATTTGCTGCCATGAGTATCACTTTTTTAGATTTTTTAAACTTTGTTCTTTATTGTAAATATATGAGCCCAAATATAGATCACATATTCAAATGGTGTAGTGAAGTTTTTAAGGTAGTCTTAGGTTTTTATATGTTGATGTCGATATTTGTGTGTGAATACACTGAATATAGTTCTAATATATGGTGTTTCCAGGCAATTTGGAAACTTTTTTTTCTTTGGTATAACACTGCTGAACCATGGAATGCATCTTACATGACCTAACACAGTCTTTTTTTAAGTCCATATTGAGGTAAAATACTGTATTTTTTTTTCTTCTATATGTCTAGATAATGCCACTGTAGTAATAAACTGGTTAAAATTAAGCACTGCCTTTATTAGGAATATGATAAAAAACTGTTTGAGAGCATTGTAAAAGGAGAGGTTTGCCTTATGCGTGTTTTAGCAGAAATAAAACAATGTTTTAATTAACATGTACTATTTCAGTATATAATTTTAGCATAATTTTCTGTAAAATTCAGAAGGCTATTGTAAGGTGTTTGTTAATGGTATCTTTTAACAACTTACTGAAATTTGCCAGCAATTTAATTTTGACTGAGACATGCTTCTTTTTGACCAGTGTTATCACTTGTGAATCACATTCAAGCAGTGTTCTTGTGACTCTCTCTGTGCTCTTCTGGTCTGAAAACCCAGATCTCCTTGTCCTGAACTGGAGGTGGTAGGGAGTGCCTGGGTATCAATATCAAGGTATAGTGTGAGATGTGATTGTAAAACACTGTAATTCTTTCTAGAAGGAGCTATGTATCGCTATAATTTACAATATATCAAAGACCTGAACAGAGTTCACAAGCACATTACTATAGATGATGGATTACATGTTTCTCTGTCCTTTCCAGGGATACATATAATAAAACTGGGTCATTTCACCAGCAATTTTCAGGGCACTTGATTTCTATCCATTCCTTCTGTCAGTTTTGCTCTCATCTTATTGTTCAAATGCAATGTGACTTAAACTGAAATTTTTAGGCCATTAGGTAACAGAATTTAATTATTCACCAGTTAAACAAAGGAGCATAGCTGGTACAGAGTACTTGGATGCAGGGGACACTGTTCTTCCAGTTTGGCCTAAAAGCACTCCTGAGGAGTCTTAACTGAAACCATTGGAGCCATCATCTACTTGTGCTTTTCATCCTGCTTCCAAAAGTATCTAAATGCCCTCTACAGCTAGCGGGCAGTATTATGTATTTACTTAGTAGAGAGGGTCAGGCACTACAGGTGTTTTGATGTAACAGACAGCTCTTGTTTCTCTTCTTCAGGAGTTTCAATGTTTGTCAGGAATTTGTGTCTCATTTAAATAATGGCAGAGTGGATTATGTCAGGACTTGTGTATGTGAGTGGAGTTTGATATTTAAAAACATGTAACTGGCTGAAATTCATGACAGCAAAGGCAAGTCATTTATCTAGAGTTTATTCTACATTTTCATTATTTGAATCATCTGCCCTGTCTACATAAGCAAACTTGATTTTTAAAAGCATTTATTTTGAGATAATGACATCAGGAAGAGGGGTTGGTCTAATATGAAGGTGTGGATAGTAAAACAGCTGTCTTATCAGCCTAGTTACCAAATGACTTTGCTGACATTGTGTAGTTGTGTTGATTTTTTTACATGAATCCCTTATATGTCACATACGCGTCTGCGTGTGACTTTCCCACCAAAATCTAAGCACTCTGAGGGATAAACTTGAAACTGTTGTAGGACCCCTCTCCTTTTCAAGTAGAAGGAGTGGGAAACTCTGGGACAGAATTGTCACATACTTGGTGTGATACATTAAGAGTTGTAACAAATTACTGATAATAGCAACGACTGCAAACATCCTAGACCCACTTGACCCACACCTTGTATCATTAGCTGGAGTCTACTTGCCCTTGTCTCACCGCGAGTACCTCTCTTGGCCTCTGAGTAGGGCTGTGCCTCAGGAAGTTCTAAATTCCTTAAAAGTCGCATTATGATGAGACGAGGGTGCTTATCTTAAGGCTAAGAGTTTAACTTAAGGCTACACGATCTTAAGCGGTGAGAGATTTACATCCCTTTGTTTACAGGGTGGGAGCTGCAGTCTGTACCTCAGGGGTGAGGTTCCACTGGTGCTAGGGACGGGGAGGATGCTCCAAGTGTAGCTGACGTTTTGGGGGAAACAGGGATGTCGCAGGAGCTGAGGAGATGGAGATAAGCAGCAAGAGGGTTGAAAGATGGAAGACTAAGTGAAAAAGAACATGGAGAAAAGACTGATATGTGGATACGGCCATGGAGAGTTGTGTCTGGTGGTGTTAATGCAGTAGTACAGGATGTGGACAGTTGTTGCTCTGTTTAGCGCTGCCAGACATCAGCAGTGAAGGCATTTATAAGCCACATAAAACCTAATAGTGCTCTAGTACACGTTTTTCTCCGCTTATGGGCGTGCTGCCATGGGAAAGCCGATCCTTATTATCTTATTATCTGAGGTAAATCAAAACCTGGAATGACCCGCCCGTTTGAAGGTGTTGGAGCTTTCATAAACTAAGTTTAAATCTCGATAGTAAGGAAACAGAATGTCTCCAGGCTGGATTTTTAGGATGAATTATATGTGTGGCTGTGTGCTTTGGCTCTAGAAATGCCAGGTATGTCCAGCACGAGCTGCCTTCCGTCGCTCCTCTCCCCGCAGCCCCCGCGGGTTCGGTTCGCTGAGGGGGACGGGCGCGCGCCGGGGGGCGATGCTGGGAGGGGCGTTTGAGAAACTGCGGCTCCCGCGGGGCCGCGGCGGAGCGCGAGCGCGGTGCGCGTCGGTGTGTCCCGGTGCGCGAGGCCGGGCGCTGTTCCCAAGGCCCCGTTTCCCGATCCAGCCCCGCCCTTCCCGGCGCGGGAGGGGCGGGGGCCGCGCTCACGTGACGGCTCGTGGCCAATGGCGCGATCGCGTGATGCGCGGCGCAGGCTGCGCGCGCGTCGGCGGCAGCGCAAGATGGCGGCGGGCGCGTGAGCGGCGGCGGCGGCCGGGACGGAGGGAGCCGAGGCCCGAAGGGACCGGGAGGGGCCGGCGGGGCCGCCGCGGGTGCCGTCCCCCGGGGGCGATGGTAAAATGACCCAGGCGGGCAAGAAGAAGAAGCGCGCCGTGAACCGCAGCATCATGCTGGCCAAGAAGATCATCATTAAAGACGGCGGGACGGTGAGGCCGGGGCGCGGCTGGAGGCGCCGGGGAGCCCCGGGCAACGCGGCGGGGCAGGGGCGGCAGCGGGCGGGCAGGGCCCGGTGGGCCCACGGGTCTCGGCAGCCGCGCTGGTGGCGGTGCCCCAGCAGCTCCTGGGCCCGGGCTGGCTGGTCCGGCCCGTAGGGGCTGTTCCCGGGCGCGGGACGGGGTTGGGGCGCAGGAGCGAGTGCGGCCCCAGCCGCTGGGCCCCGGCCCGGCGGGGCGTTACGGCCGCCCCGGGGTGCGGGGCGTGTCCGGACCCGCCTCGCCCCGGCCGCGATTCGGAACGGGGCCGCGCAAGGCGGGGGTGCCGCTGGCACGGACCGCCGTGCTCGCCGTGCCCGTGGGCTGGGACAGAACGGGCCAGCGAGGGGGACGCGCTCCAGCACCTGAGAAGTCCCGCAAAGGGCACCTGGAAGAAGGATTTTGCAGTTCCTCACACTGTTTTGCTTCCTCTTGAATACATAGATTTTAAAAAGAAGGGAAGCTGTTACGTGTTTTTGACTGTTGGAGCTTGGGGTTTGTTTGAGTTTTTGTTTTGTTTTGGTTTTTTTAAATTGTTGGGTGCCATGACTTCCAGTGTATCGTGCCCCTGGATTTTTTCCACTGTGTAACCTTATGCAGTTTCTGTGTGCTCTCTTCTAAATACAGTGTCATTATTTCACATAAGAGACATCTTGACAGACTAAGTTGCTGATAGCCCTTTCGTTTGTCTTTTTGGAACAATAATGGAGGAAAGGGAGGTTTCAGAGACACCATACTTGTTCGTTGAAGTGGTGGCCATCTGTCTGGTTTACTTCAGTGTTAAGAAGCAAAACTAATTCCAGTGATGGCAGTTGGTGTTTTCCCGGACATGTTTTCCCTTTCTTTGTAAAGATAGAAATGAATGAGATTACCTTGTATAAGTGTTAAATGCAAGTATTTTAGTATGAGTAGTAGAAGCAGAGTAAATGCTGTTACTCAGGGGACATGGTGCTTCATAATTTCTCTCTGGAGTAATCATTGGTTAAGATACAGTATGCTTCCAAGTGTCCTTTACCTCTCAACTTCAGGTTTCTTTTGCTAAGAGAGGAGAAAGGATGTTACAATTAACTGCATTCAGTGATATTTGTAGTGCAGCATTGGGTGGCTCCCACCAGTTCCAAAAGCAGAATGCAAACTTGCATGAGTTCTGTATGATTTTCAGTTTTTTAAAAAGGTGGAAACATGGGCCATAAACATTAGATGAAAGTATGTAGATTGTTGTTAGGTAATAAATTTTAGCTTGTGATACTTTCTGCTTTCAAATAAATGTTTTGGAATTTATTTGTTTTATATAAATTTTTAAAGTTAAGAAGTGTGGTATAGCAGAGTATTCTTTATAATGACAGCAAAAACTTTATGCATGGATTTTTTTTTTAATGTTTGCTGTTAGTTAGCCTTCAGTGCTCTGTCCTCAGCTGCTTTGTTACCCTGCACATTGTGTGACACTGTGGGAAACAGGTACATGAAAATGGCCCCCATGTCTTGAATGTCTCCCACTGGCAAACCAGTAATTAATCAAGTATCTTCATGTACAGTTTCCAGACTGATTGGTTTATTTTGAAACTGTTTGACATCAAAGAAGACTGTGTGAGCCAGCAAGAATATACAGCTGGTTAATGAGGCAGTGGTACAGGCAAAAAGAGTTTCTGATGGGGAACCTCAGTCAAACCTAATGTAATTGTCACTGGTTCTGATGTGGAAAGGAAAAAAAAACAAGCAAAAAGGAAACCTACCCATTGTTTCTGCAAAGCCTCTCCTTCCACCACAGTTTGTACTGGGTTGGCTTGACAAGGCAGCGGGAGGTGCAGGAGGTTGGGTTGGTGCATGGGAGTATTTTTGGGTTGTTCTCTTTTCAGCTTTAGTAGCTGTATCACAGAAAAAATGTGTAATGGCGTGTGTGCTCACACACTTGAGATATCAGTAAAGGAGAGACAGTAACACCAGTGAAGTGGTTTCATAGAATGATGAACGGTTTGGTTGGAAGGGACTGTAAAGATCATCTTGTTCCAACCCCCCTGCCATGTAGTGGAACCTTCCACTACATCAGGTTGCTCAAAATCCCATCCAACTTGGCTGTAAACACTTCCAGGGATAGGGCATCTACAACTTCTGTTTCAACACTTTTTTTCCCAATAATTTTAATTTTGCCTTCCTTTGTGACCACCTAGTATTTGTCTTATATAAGATCATGCATTTTTGAAGCAGTCATGAAATGGCTTTATTTGTGTACTTTATTTGGTGCCTTTTTCAGCAGAGGAGCAGCAGCTGTGATCTTATACCTGATGTCTTTGTTGCTTTGATAGTTATTCTGTTGTTAGATGTGTGTCCTTAGGCTTGCCTGGCATGTACACTTTTTATCACTGACGTGGCTGACAGTAAAGTGTTTGGTTAAAGACATCTTCTCTCTAACCAGGAAAAAGGGCATTCCTAGAGCACTGTTTTGTGCCACAGATTTAGCCAGATGTAAATACACTCTGCTCTGGGTGCCTGGTTGCACAGAAGGGTTGCTGTTACTCTGATTGAACATCTTGATTCCAGCTTGTTCACACGAGGACTCCATATCTTTTATCTCCAGGTGTAAGGCCACCTGATTTGGTTGCACTTGGGTCATTACATTACATGTTAGCTCATTTATAAAGCACAGAGGTCAGGTTGGTAGAGTAGGACAGGGCTGAACACCCAGCGCCTGTACTGTACATGTTGGGGTAGGAGGGTGCATCACACTGGTGCTGAAATCTTGTGGAGTGAATGCACATGAAGTATCTTTATGCACTGCAATTTATCTGCTTATTAATCTCCTTCCCTTTCTCTTTCACCTCAGGAGTATTTTTGCTACTTTATAGTTGCAACCACCTTTAAAAATGGCTATAAGGTGATGATCTAAATGTCACTAAACTACCTTTTTTTTTTTTTTAATAGTACCTGTGGCAAGAGACCACTAGCAATAAGAAATCAAGGAAATTTAACCCTAGCGATCTAAATGTCACTTCTGTTTGTTTCTGCCGGTGTGTAGGAAACATCTGTTGCTGTTGCTTACAGCTGGATGGCATGGCAGAGGGCAGCAGTCACCTGCCTGTGTGTCTCTAAAGTCACCAGTGGCTCAGCTGTGCAGAACAACCCCTGGTTTCGTTCTGCTCTTTCGGTCTGTGCATGTGGTCTGTGAGGAGCTGCCCAGAGCTGGATGAGGCAGCACTGGGACAGATGGCCATTGAGCTGTGTTTGCTGTGAATAGAGGTGCTCTTGACCCCCGTGCTTGGAGGGATGGGGATGGTTTGTGACACCCACCTCACCATCTGTCATACTTTGGGGGGTCATGAGCCAATAACGTGACAGGAATCCAGGGGCTATGGGAATCAACCTGATTTTCTGATTTTGTGACATCGAGCCAAACAGGTAATGATGATACTTACCGTTTGCGCAGAGCTGGATAAATTTTTAACCCAAAGCTAAAATAAGGATTGTGGGTGGAAAGGGAAAGGAATTGTGGGAAGAGAAGATAATTATAGCCACTTTCTGTACCTAAAAAGACTGTTAATGTACATCCTTAGGAGTGTAGGATGAAGAAATAGCAGGAATATCTTTATGGTATGTCTGTATTTACTGAAGAGGGCTTCGGAAAGAAAAATAGCACAATTCTGTGGTACTTTTGTAACTCACCTTTTACATGTTGATATGGTTACTTTTAAAAATTGTGATCTTTTTTAGCAGGAGGGATGAGTAGCCAGTGAGGTTTTCTGTATTTATTTCTATATTTGTTCAATAAGCTTTTTTTTTTCTATATTGGATATACTGGAATCTGGAAAGAAAAGCTAGGTATGGCTTGCATAAATCTCGTAATAAAAGAAAGACTCTAATATTACAGAACTGCAACTTGAAATTGTGTAGTATTTGAGGCTGGAGGGCACCTCTGAACATCTCTGATCCAGCTACCCCACTGTCTTACCCCAGACAGGGTCAGCTGGAGCAGTTTGCTCGGGGCTGCGTCTGGTGAGGTTTGGGGGATGGAGGCTCCACACTTCACTGAGCAGCCTGTTTCAGGGGGGTCCTTGTTCAAGGTTTAAGTAGAATTTCTTGTATTTCACTGTGTGCCTCCAGACCTGTTACTGACACCTCTGAGAAGTTTCTGGCTCTTGTCTTTGCTCCCTCCCATCAGCTACTTACACACATTGATAAGATCCCAGTGAGCCTTCTTGGGAAGCAGCCGAGGTCGTTAGGCTGTGTGTGCTCAGTGTAATGTCAGGTCTGATCACATCAGTACTACTCTTAGTAACTTACAGAGCTGGGAGAGTGCCTGTTAAGGCAGCACTTCTGAGTTTAAAGAATGCATATGAGATTTCTGATGAGTTATTCATAGTGCCTTCATATGAAAATAATTAGTGAACCATATCCTTAATTTGCAAATGTTGCACTGTGGCATGTTGTTTGACAGCATTTACAGAGGCTACAAGATGAGCAGGTTGTCCCACCCATGCTCCTTTTGTTCTTCTCAAAAGCTACTTCTGATTCTACTAAATCACTGAAGAATTTGAAGTTCCTTATGTCAAATCTTTCATCTGTATCTCTTCCTGCATTTGAACACTGTAATTCACTGGCCTGCACTCACTATTTGGGAAGCGATCAGTGCTGTTCCTGAGATTTGCTTCTGGTGTTTGTTATTTTGGTTTCTTTCCTGATTTAGAGCTATCAAAATTTTGTAGCAGTGATGCCTTTTAGTAACAGAAGTGCTGTAGAGCTGTTTGATGGACCAGGTAATTAGATTTTGGGATAGCTGAGTGTAAACACTACCATGTTTTGGAATCGTGAAAACTTGATTCCATGTGGCATTGTGTAAATTTCAGCAATTTTCTCCAGGAAAATAAACTGATCTTCTGAAGAAGAGCCTGTTTTCCCTGTAGCATCCTTGTTTACCAGACTGGCAGTATAAGTGGTTAATATTTAGAAATGGCAGTGAAGAATTCTGCATAGTAAAATTAAGACACTTCAGGACATTATCACCAAAGGGTTAAAAAAAGGAATTTCACCAGTTAGCTGGGGTAACTGTATTCCCAAGTTTTGAGTCCTGTTTAATTGTTAATCCTTCTATTTTTAGTGTTCAAATGCATTTCTTACTACTCTGATAGATGGTTAGATGTTTTTATCACCTGTCTTTTCTCGTTTTAGCCTCAAGGAATAGGCTCACCTAGTGTCTACCACGCCGTTATTGTAATCTTCTTGGAGTTTTTTGCTTGGGGACTCCTGACAGCTCCCACTCTGGTGGTAAGTGATTTTCTGGAGCTTTTTCTTGCTGTACAGGACATGGGGCAATTACTGCAAAGGCACTTGGCATCTTCTGAATTGAGTGAAAATTACATATCATTGAGCTGCTCTTTTGTGCAAGTAAAAGGTTCTGTATTTTTAGATGGTATCAAAAATTTCAAATTCTTTCATTAAAGCAGGGTAATGGTGTAGAATAGCTGTTAAAATGCAAGTCTGCTAACACTCAAGCTTACATGTAAGTATTTTCTGATTGAAATCAATAAGACAGCAATGCAATTATCTTTCCTTTCAAGTTGCCACAAAAAGTTGGCACATTACAAATATAAGGACAAAAATACTTCAAATTTGGTAACATTATGCAAGCATGTGTATGTGTGTAGGTAGGGAGATCTTTGCTGACCTGGTTGTGTTTTAAACAGAAGCTTCAGAGCACAGACCCTGTTACACCAGTCAGAGCTTCCCTGTGATTAGTGAGACAGTCATACCAATGTGTTTGTACCAAATTATTTTGTCATGTAGTTGGTTGCTTTTAATTTGGATTTAATCTGTGAGTGACACATGCTGACAAATTAAAAGGAGTGAAGGCTTAAGAATGTTCAAGCAGGCTCCACCTAAAATGCAGTTTTGGTGCAGCTCTGAAAGCTGATGTTAACCGTGAGCAGTGTCCTGGGTATAGAGGGCACATGGGTTACCGAAGGGAGTCCCTCTGACTGACACCAGTCACACTGAGAGACCTGCATTTCTGGGCTCTGCTCACCAAGCTGGGAGGCACTTCAGAATGTGAGGTGATGTCTCCTCCCTCTCTCCCCAGTTCCCCACAGATGGCACAGTAATATGAGGAAAGTCTGGTCTGAGATAATTTTCTAAGTTCTCTGTGGTCTATTTAGATTTCAGTCATTGAAGTCCCAAATTACCTTCCATGCAAATTAGAGATGAAATACATTATTTGTGGTTTGCCTTTTTCTTCCTCTGTATTCTGTGAAAATAAAAAAATACTGTGCATCATAAAGTTGGATGTATCACAAGCAATATTTGTAGTTACTATTGCATAAATGACAGTGTTCATATTTCTTCTCCAGGTTTTGCATGAAACCTTCCCAAAACATACATTTCTAATGAATGGTCTAATTCAAGGAGTAAAGGTAAGCTGACAGAAGTTAATCACAAGTACAGTTTAAAGTGAATGGTGGGAGGAATATAGAAATGAATGCCAACTGGGTGAAACATTCAAGAGGTTTTTCAATATGGCTTTTGCAGTATAACTAAAACAGGGGAGTAAATTACTTGTAACAAGGCAAATATGCGTCACTTCACTTCTAGTAAGGTATTGCTTGGTCTGTATCTACTGTTTGGGTTCAGCAAATAAAAAAGGTAGTTGACTAATCCCAGATGATGCATATGGTGGTAAAAGTTGACAATTTTTTACTTGAAGCTTGTTGCTTCAGTAGGGTATTTTCAATTACTTAGGTTTATGTGAATTCTAAATAGACAAGATTATAAAACACAGTTATTAAAACTGCTAGTATGATTAAATGATCTGTGTTTTGAATTTTGTGTAGTTCTGGGGTAACAGATCTCAAATTTTATGTAACCAAACATGAGATAGAAGATCAGTGATGCTTGGTCACACTGCCTTTGATGCATTGCACTGTAGTCATTGACTTGAATCAAAATAGAGCCCAGGCTGCTCTCAGATGTGGTGTGGTCACAATTCTACCCACTCAGTTCTAACTTAAAATGTTTTGTTCATTTAGGGCTTATTGTCGTTTCTCAGTGCCCCACTCATAGGTGCCCTGTCTGATGTGTGGGGACGAAAGTCCTTCCTGCTGCTAACAGTGTTTTTCACCTGTGCACCAATACCACTAATGAAGATCAGCCCATGGTTAGTAAATTCTTTCACAGTAGGTTGGCTCTTTCTTGTTAAGGCTGCATCTAATGCATATGTTTGTAGTGTTGTTGATAAATGTTATTTATGGTTCATGGGAGATTGAGGCTTTTGTATTACTTCCATGCAAAGTTGGGGGAACAGTCAAACTGAAGCAGCTGCCATGAGGCCAAATGCCTTGGTCAGAATTTTAACAGCTGCTGGCTTTGATCTGTGTGCTGTAAGCCCTAGTCCTGTTTGTACTTGGTGCACTGAGGAGGAATTACACAACTCTATCAAGACACGTTCACATTAGCTTTATCCAAGATTATCTCAATAAATTGTCAGGATAAGTTGGACAGGGTGATTTACTGTTGAACTGCACTTGGATTGAATAGACTTTCTGTTTCTATTTAGCTGTTCTAATTTTTTTATCATGTTTTAGGTGGTATTTCGCTGTTATCTCCGTGTCTGGAGTTTTTGCAGTGACATTTTCTGTAGTTTTTGCATATGTAGCAGACATAACCCAAGAACATGAGAGAAGCATGGCCTATGGTTTGGTAGGTATTATTTTGGCTCTTTTCCTGTGGTATGCAGTACTAAACCCTTCAGTCTGTAGCGCTTTTCAAAGCTGCCTGTTTGTTTCTTCTGTGGCAAGTTGATTTTAGTTTGGAGTCAGGTTTTTCCATTTAATTGTTCCTGTCATTCAGTCTTGTATATTTGGAATATTTTGCTTCTAAATTAAATACAGCTCGTTTCTTCCCAGAGGTATTGGCAGACTCTAGAGTTAATTAAACCCAGTTATGTCAGTACATGCAGGAGTGCTGTGAGCCTCACATTGCTGTCCAGTTATCAGAAAAGGGTTTTCTTGAAAAACTGTGATTTTTCTGAAACACAGAGCTGCTACTACATAGGCACAGTAAAAAGGCTACTTTTAATCGCTGCCTGATTAAAATGGTTAGGCTTCTGAAGATGAGGAGGTGTGGGTAATAACACTGCTGACTTGTGTCACTGAAAGTCTTACCAGCTGTGCTTTGTTCCAGGTTTCAGCAACTTTTGCGGCAAGTTTAGTCACCAGCCCCGCTATCGGTGCCTACCTTGGTCGAGTGTACGGAGACAGCCTGGTTGTGGTCCTGGCTACAGCAATAGCCTTGTTGGACATTTGTTTCATCCTTGTTGCTGTACCAGAATCGCTGCCAGAGAAGATGAGGCCAGCATCCTGGGGAGCACCCATTTCGTGGGAGCAAGCTGACCCTTTTGCAGTAAGCTACTTAAATAGGGAATATTTTGTTACTTGTAGATGCTGAGCTTCAGAGACAGGGAAGAGGCTGAATTTACTGTGTTTCAAGCCTAAAAACAAAGCCTTTTTTTTTTAAATTTGACCTTCTTTCACTGTTAATACTTTTGCCAGCAATCTTGCTAAAAGTGCGGGAAACGCTCTGGTGGTGCCACATAACAGCTTCATTGTCAGGCTTTCCCAGCTAGGGATGATTTCTGAAAAAGGAGATTGAATGTTTTGTAATGTTTTATACTTTTTTCTTGCTGCAGTCACTGAAGAAAGTCGGCCAGGACTCCATTGTGCTGCTAATCTGCATAACAGTCTTTCTTTCCTACCTCCCAGAGGCAGGTCAATATTCCAGCTTCTTCCTATACCTCAGACAGGTAATGTAACATTTTGGTATGGATTTGAACAAAAGTAAATACACAGGATTTAGGAAAGTTTTCAGAATTGCTGAGTTAGTATGGAAGGTATAGATAACTAGTATAATTTAAAAGCTTCCAGCAGCTTATTTAAGTCCTCTTGCTGTTCTATTTTTCTCTCTTTATATAAAGACATGAGCTATAAAACAATTTCTTGTATTTTGTAGTTATTTGCATTATTCTTGAACTACAAGGTTCAATATGTTAAAACTGGTTTTATTTTTTGAGAGAACTATTTAATTGTTTTCAATTTATGCCCCTTTATTTTTGTATACTTGCTTTATTTAATAAAAAAAAACTCCAAACCCCATGACTTAGATTTTCTAAGTTAAGGAGGAGCTGTGTAATACTGGTCCTTCTGTGTTGTGTGTTTTCTCACTGTGTTTGTGACATCCTGATACATGGTTTATGGTTAATAATCAAATTGCCTTTTTTTAATATAGATAATGGGATTTTCATCTGAAAGTGTTGCAGCATTTATAGCAGTCCTTGGGATTCTTTCCATTATTGCACAGGTCAGTTATTGCTCTGTGTGCCATTGATTTGCTAAGTTCAAAAGAATGAAGCACTGTGGAGAACTTTGGAAACACTGTGGTTCCATAACTGTCACTCTTCTTTTCTATAGCTGTTTTTTTCCAAATCTCTAACAATTGATTAACACTCTGTCATAGATTAAAAAAATACTTGACAACCAGAGTTTGGTTCATTAATATCTGATATGTATTGTGTTGGGAAAACTAAATCCTTTGCGCATCAAAGAAGTGGTGATGGTTTGCTTATATTACTTGCTAAATAATTGCTATTTTTTGGGTAGAGGCAACTACTGCTTCTGGAGAATTTTACTTCAAAACTAATTTATTTCCATATATTTGTCATTGAGAATAAAATGTTTTCAGGGGTTTTGTTATGTTTTTAGTTAATTAACTCATCAACTCATCTGTGTTTAACATTTAGAATAAAATGTTATTTTTCTGATTTTATTTTTTTTCACTTTTTCCCCTGTTAGACAATAGTTTTGAGTTTACTTATGCGGTCCATTGGAAATAAAAATACCATCCTGCTGGGCCTAGGATTTCAAATACTGCAGCTTGCGTGGTACGGCTTTGGATCAGAACCATGGTATGTACATTGCATTTCAGTCTCTGAATGGTACAGTATTTGTCTGCATTTTACCTGTTATCCAAGGGAGACAGCCAAGTGTGTGTGAGGTATATCCAGCATTTCTGTGCTCCCAGCAGAGAGCTCCCGCCCCGCTGGGCAGTGATCCCAGTGTGTGTTTTGCAGGATGATGTGGGCAGCCGGTGCCGTGGCAGCCATGTCCAGCATTACTTTCCCAGCTGTCAGCGCCCTCGTTTCACGGACTGCTGATGCCGACCAGCAGGGTAGGTTTTGTCCTGGATCTTGGAATTCTAGTCACAGAACACTGTGCAGACAGACACACTGGGGTCTCGTCATGCTGCTCGTCAGGCAGCCTCAGCTGCAGGCCAGCCCAGACTCCTGAGCACAGGGCACCACGTGTTACATCCATGTGGCTTGGAAGGTGCAGAGTGTGTGTATCACGTACTTGTGGCACAGAGGGAAAACCTTCATCAGGTCCCAACAGTAGCAAAATATTCAGCAAACTTAATGCACTGTTCCTTTTCCTTACTGTTGCATGCAGTGCTTTCTCTCCCCTGTGAGACTGTGCCAGCAGGGATATTGTCTATCTCCTGTCCTCTGAATGAGCTCAGCATGGCAAGTACTGCTCTGGGCTAGAGGCAGATGGAAAAACCACTTGAATGTGCCATAATGACAAGCTTTTCGCAACCTTTTTTTATTGCTAAACATAGTGCAACAGCATTTAGAGCTTTCCTGCTTGCATCAGTTTGAAGGTGAAGTGAATAAAGTCTTACTGATTCATTAAAAATAGTTAAATATATATGTATAAATACAGATAGATGAGAACAGGGTATTTTGCTTTTCCCAGGTGTTGTTCAAGGGATGATAACAGGCATTCGAGGACTGTGTAATGGTTTGGGACCAGCACTTTATGGTTTTATATTCTATATATTTCACGTTGAATTGAATGAACTGCCCATGCCTGAATCACCATCAGGAGGTAGTGTGGTTGCACAATACCATTTACAACAGGTATGTTTCTTTTTTTACTTATTGCTTCCAAAAAAAAAGAAGTTAGGAAGGGATCATGTGCCCATCAGTTCTTGAGTTTGATGCTGTGTGACGTTTAGTTACACTAACTGTAAGTGAAGGGTGTAGAAAGACGCTCTTGAGTCCCTCTGGGGCAGGGTTGTTGGTCTATTTGTTTCTAACTGGATTGTATTGGTTTAGTTTAATTTTCCAGTAGATACAACTGTGACCCTTGTGAGCAGACTATCTAGAGGGAAGGATGGACTGATACCAACAGTGTACCAATGGTGCATGTTTTGGTTTTGTTGTCCTTTAACCAAGCTGTCTATTTTTTTTAGTTCCTAATAGACACTAATTTTTTGAGGAAACTCAGCAGGAAGAACTTGCCCTAGCAAAGGACATTGGCAGGCATTAATAAGAATCATGTGTTCCCTTGTCCTAAAACTTAGGATGTAACATTGTTTTCACATTTTTTTTGTAAAAGACTCCACTGTATTGACTAGTGTGTCCAGAAACAGCTCTTCCCACTCTAGAAATTGGGATAATTAGCAATTGTAGTCTGTTAATGTGTGTTTAAGGGCTCATTGACATGTTGTGGTGTTACTGTTGTTGTTTTCAGAATTCCATAATTCCTGGACCCCCATTCTTATTTGGAGCGTGCTCTGTGCTGTTGGCGCTACTTGTTGCCTTGTTTATTCCTGAACACACAAACCTAAATGTACGATCCAGCAACTGGAAGAAACACTGTGGCAGCCATGGCCATCCCCACAGCCCACAGGCTCCTGGTGAAGCTAAAGAACCATTACTGCAAGATACAAATGTATGACGAAAATCCAGGAAGACCTTTTGGACTTTTTGCATCAGCAGTTTGGGATACACATTCCAATTCCATCAAAATGTAATTTCTTAAGGTAATCTTAAGAAGTATCTTTCTGCATGAAATCTATAGGAATTAAAAGAAAACAGGAGCTTTCTCCAAAGATGTTGCCATTGAACTTAAAACTTACTTGCTTTTCTAAACAAACTGTTACATACTCGTCTCTTGCCATGAAATACTGTTACTGCTAAACTTAACTTTACATTCTAGTTCAGAGACAAAAAGTAGAGTCCAGGCATGAGCATGTGTCCTTCTGTTTCCTTACGGTGGTGAGCTTTAATTCTAGTCACGCTACGTCTCAATGAGACATACTGGCATCCGTGTGGACCCATTCGTTTTAAAATCTTGGGTCAGTTGATTCAAAGCCTTAATGTAAATGTACTCAAGTAGGAAGAAGGTAAATTGGTATCATTTCTTTTAAAAGTCACATGGCAGGTTTTTTTAAGTTTGTACTAATACAAAAATCACATGAGCACGCTTGCTGAACAGTAAAAGTTATTTTTTATGTAAGTGCATTTACTCTTTCTATTTTTGAATAAACGGTAGTGTCAAACACTTGTTTAAATAGTAAGTGGGTGTTTTGAGCCTACAAATTTTAATATTGGCTCTAAAACTCTGCTTTCCTACGCACCGTTTATTATACCACTATATTTCTGATGTTTGCGTAATCATAAGGACCTCAAAACTTGAAAACACAGACTGAACTATAAGCTGATAGCCTTGAATCTGTCCGTGTGCTATATAGTGGCCTTTGAGGACTGTCACAATAACCCTTTTGCATTACAGAGCTAAAGTTTTAGTCCTAAATTTTCAGGACCCTTAGTACAGAAGAGAGCTTTATATACAATTACTGATGTGAATTTCTCTAAAAGTGTATATTTTTGTGTCCGGTTGTATTATTTAAGTGTTCCTTTGTATAAATTTGTGTATAAAGTATTGTATAGGTTTAAAATGTTTTCATCTTGTGGTTATTGCTTAATGCTTTTTTACCTTTGAACATTCACCATGGTTGACCAAGAGCAGGAAAAAAATATGTAAATATACTGTTAATAAAGTTGAATATTTTAATGAATTTTTAAATAATCGTTAACGTCTCTTAAAAACTTAATTGAGGTGCTGTAGTGCACGTGTATTACACTTCAGCAGATGAGCAAAGGCATCTGGAGTACAGGGGCAGCAGGTTTTATGTGTCAGATAAAGCAGCCTTGGAATTATCCCTGCTGTCCAGCAGCACAGGCTGGCTGCACCTGGCTCCTTGTTTCCTGGGGTATCAAAGGCAACAGGATGGCCATAGATCCAGGCTCCAAGAAACAGGTCAGTTAGTTACACACAGCCACCCTTTCCTGTGCTGCAGGGGTCAGTCAGCCCTGGCCCACTATGCTTTTATTTTGCATTTGCTGTGAAGAGGCCTGGGAGATTGGGAAAGCTGCCACCCTGTCATTAGCAGCTTCCTTTGATTGATAGCAGCTCATCTGTAGGTGGAGACAAACAGCAAGTTCAGTCACACCAACTGACCCAGAAATGGGGCTGTAAGCACAGGGTGGCTGCCAGGGGGGAATTTGTACGGTGGGTAGGGAAAGGAAGAAGCTGGGAAGAAAACTGCAGAACAAGGGTGAAATAATTAGTGCTGTTCTGGCACCTGCCTCATCTGGGAGTTTCGGTACAATGGAGATGTTGGTTTAGTACTCTTAAAACGTTACTAATCAGAGCTTTTGATAAAAAACATTTAATATTTCCATTGAAACTTACACATGACAAAACGAGTGAATATACATTAACATGGTGCTGATTTATAAACAAATGTACACATTTCACACAGCAAAACAAACCACTTAAATGTACAGTCCTCAGGCTGCACTTAAATAACTAAGATAAAAAGTATGGAATATCTGTAACAGAAGTATGGAAATAGTCATTTTAAGTGTACTGTGCCTGTTAGGACTACATGCCTACTGGTTCTGTAGGGGAACACCAAATAAAAGGTGGCACAAAATGGGTTGTTACATGATTCAGGCATTTGAACCCAGAGAGCAGAGCAAGCTGAATAGACTTAGAGTATCTTAAATTTCTGTATAGTCTTTCAGCTGTAAAGTACAATTTGTAAAAATAAAGTATCTTTTAGATGTGATACTTGTCAATAGTTACCCATTCAGATACTTCACTTTATAATGTTTTATGCACGGTGGCCTGTGGAATCTAATTCTGAGAGATTACCAGAAAAGTTAGGGGAACCAAGAGTGAGACATTTTAAGTTATAATTTTATACCATCAGTGAAATAATTTAGCATCTTCAATATTAGATTTGTATGCAATTCAAATAAGCTGGTTCAAAAGTTAAGCAAGTATTTAAAATGTAAGGGAGGATTAGTGAGGCACTTGTGCTAACTTATGAGCTTGACCAGTACTAAAACTGGCAGCACTCCAATGCTTTCCATTTGCTTCATCCTTTCTCTGAAAGGAGTCAAAAAACAGAAACTCACAGATATATGTTCTCACTCAGGGAATGTACATTTCACCTGTTACAAAAAAGAGCACTTTGGTGGCATTTTAGGACCATCACAGGGTCAACAATATACTAAGAGAAAATTCTGCACAGTGTTGGTCCCACTAAGGCTGCTTAGAGCTTTATCTTCTCAGGCTCAGATACCCTGAAACATCACCCCAGTCAGACAAGACACTTTTCTCAAAGAAAACTGTCTTATAAAATTATGTCAGTTCACAGCAATGCCCTACTAACAGGACATTCAAAACTTCCCCCAAATGGTTAAGAGATGACTCTGTCAGAACCCTGTCTCTTATCCAGGAAAATAAGCCGAGGCTGGTGTTCCTGCAGCTTTGGGCAATGGCTGTGCTTTGGCTGGCAAGTATGGTCTCAGGTACTCTGTGGAACAGCACAAACACTTCATAGATCCACGTCTGTCACTGCCCTTCAAGTACATTTCAAATAAGGTCTTGTTCTACAATTTCATACATACCTGAGTTAAGCGTGTTCTGACTAAGCCCTCGTAAGGGAATGCTGTCATCTTTTTTCTTGAGATACTTGGATTCCAGCCCCAAATGATCACCACTAGAAATAAAAAGGCTAATTAAAATTTAAAGCAAATGCAGTTTGCTATCAGTGCATTACAACACGTGTGGCTACAGACTCGTTCAGAATACTTGAAGTGAAACTACCGTGTTTCTAAGAACTTTATTTACCATTTAAAGTTAAACTATTGCTGAGTAGGTTAAGAACAGCCTATATATATTATATACAATATATATAATAGTAATAAAAATATATATTTTATATAGATACATTAATATATAATTACATAGTCATTATATAACAATAATAAATAGAAAGATAATAAAAAATACTAAAAATGCAGTAGATGACACTTACTTCTCCTTATTTGCTGGATGACTGGTTGCAGTCACTGTCTGAGCATCTGAACATCGATTCAATTTAGAAAGCTGTGTGTTAAACTGAACCTGCAGAGACAAGAGAGCTGCAGGTTAAAGAGCTCCTCTCCAGATCTGACAGTCCCCACCAGTGAGTGCATTTAGAGAGCAAACTTCCCAGGGATTAGTGATCCTGCACCTCACACAGCACTGCTGTGCAGCACAGCCTGGGAGAACAAGCACCCTAAGGACAAGCATTAGCCATGGGTGATAATGTCCAAGACAGGGAGCTTGAGAGCATATACAGCAAATACTTCATGTATTTGGAGAAATAGTCACAACATTATGCTTTGGTATTTTATGCTGTCACATTCTTAATCAAACAAAAAAGTTGAAGTGCCTGCCTTTGGTACGGGACATGATGAACTGGTGTTTTTGCTGTGTGTTGGTTCCAGGAAGTTCTGGAAGGCATACAGAGGAGAAATGGGATGACTGAATGCTGAGCTGGGAAAAGATGGTCTGTCAGGCTGTAATAGAAATAGAATACATTCATAAAGGAGAAACACAATCCTTAAAGTAATTCTTTATAGAGATTCAAAATTCCAAAATTAACCAACCACCATTACAAAGCCAACACTTGTGAGTCTTCCTGATGGGAAGAAAACATCACTTCTCCAAGATTCACATGCTTAAGGGAAACTTGCAACTTTTAAAAAGATGAGTTGAGCACTCAGCCAGTAAAAAGCTCCACAGCCTGTAACTGATGAACGTATTGGATGTACAGCTATAAATCAAGAGACCTCTCTGTGTGAACGTGCCCCTCCATTACTGAACAAGCAGCTCATCAATTACTAGGTACAGATCTCTGCTGTCACAACACAGAGGAAGAACCACTAAGCTGTGGTATTTAACAATGACTGCAGGTAATGTTTCTTACCCCTTATTTTCTTGTTTTTAAGTATCACTAGTAACAGTATTCAAACAGTGCACTTGTTTTTCAATCTATACAAAGATAATTAGTAATCTAATCTCACAGCATAAAAATGCCTCTTTTTTCCCCTTCACCTTGCACTTCATCTTTTCCAAGCCAATTCTGCATTGGCCTGTGTATTTTATGTAAATGAGAGCTTAGAAAAATCTCACCTATGAGGCCCAAGACATCAAGTAGCACCCAACAGGGTATTATGTTGTTAAAAAAAAAAAAAAGGAACAAAACAAAACCACAAACCACACCCACCCAAAACTTTAAGGCCCAAAGATGATGAAAGCACTTTTTTTAAACTCTTTTAAGGCCACACATTTCAGAACTAATGACTACATCCCAACCCCATTATTTATAGCTCTGTCTTACCATGCCATGAGGTGAAGAGGCAGCCCTACCACCGCCGTGTGTGCTGGCAGAAGTGTCCAGCCTCTTTGCCATCTGAACTTCACTCAGCTGTCTGTTCAGCCAGCTGATCACTGCAGAGGGAAAAAAAAGCTCAAATTCATTTTCTACCTCTTACAAGCTGTTTGAAATGGCAAGTAGCCCTTCCTCAAAAAAAGTGACAGCTCGATGGGCTATTTTTCCTCCTTAAGCTGAGGCATCACTCGGAGTCCCAGAGCCATGAAAAGCCCATTTGTTGAAGTTTCCTCTCCCCCTCCGAGCCTGAGCACTCCACCCCACAACCCCAAGCACCAGCTCCAAGGGAAGCCTTCTCTACTTGCACCTCTAGGCTTTTGCAAACCCACAACAGCCAGAAGTTGTTTTCCAAACATGAGAGCAATTGCAGCTCTTCACAAAAAAAACAATATAGCTGCTTCCATTAACTTTCAGTAGCATTTCTGTCATTTTTACAGAAGGAGAAATGAAACTGTATAAACCTACCATTTTCATTGGTTTTCAGTAGCTGCTTACTTTCTTCTAGTTTTTGCATTGTACTTTCTAGCTGTTCTTGTAGCTTGCAAACCTGTAATAGTCCCATAATAATTATAACACCATCAGGAGCTACTACTAACTACAAACGAAAACAAACATCTATAAAGTTGTTCTAAAAATAAAGAAGTTTGAACTCAATTTTTTACAAAAGCAATATGGCAATTCTTTTAAAGTAAGCCCCTACTTTTAGCCAGGATTTCAGCAAGATTACAGCCAGAATCCTTTCTGACCTTTATTTTTCTATTATTAAATAATGCAAAGACTCTAAACAAGGGAACACACTCAATGGAAGAAAAAGGTTCACTCTGTTCCTGCTCTTGCTTCCTTCACCAACCTTACATGAATGTGTCTTCTAAAGGATGCTGATTTATCCATTATATTGCTTTGTACTCTTCATACAATTTAGTTTTCTTCCATATGAATGGATCTTACAAATCAGTTTAACATTAAAAAAAATGAACGTTGATTACACATTTAAGTATATTACACATATGGAAATCAACAATAGTTGATTACATATAAGTATACTCTATTCCACAGAAAGATTTAAGACCTTAAATAATTTAAAACACACAAAAACCAATAGCATACATACAATACATACAATAGCATTTGTAAGACAGAGGGTTAATTTATCACCATACCTCCTGCTCCTTCATTCGAAGGGATTGTCCCATCTCCTGCAATTCCCTCTGCTCTTTTTGAAGTCTCTCTTCTTTTTCTCCCAATAGTTTTTCCTGTTGAATTGTTACTGTGTTTTTCAATTTTAATTTACTCA